GTCCAAAATAGCATCTTCCCCGCTTGTTCCCAAACGTTCAGCCGTAAACAAAAAATGTGAAATATCAAGTTTGTTTTTTTCTAGTGGTTCAATCATTTCATCCCAATATTTCCAAGACGATAATTCACTACCCAATCTTTCTTGAAATAATAAAAAAGCATCGGAACCGCGTAAAATACTCAAATCTTTTAACCGTTTTGTCTCAAAAGCTTGTACTTGCACCCAATTAATTTCATCCATTCTGGCTGAAAGTTTATGTACACTGACCTACTATTAAATGGACACTATTGTAATATAAGATGGTGTTTACCCACGGGAAATACGTCACTGTCCGGCGTGACGTCGCTTCCGTTCTCACCCATAAAGTCGCGCGCCAATTTCAAACACGCTCATTGCGGTCGACCAGGGCTTCGGCGACGCATCTCGGCCGCGCATGCGCAACGCAACACACACCAGCGCACGGCGCACGTCGCTCAACCACGCCCCGGACCACACCCAAAAAAAAGTCCCCCCCGTCCGGGGACACTTTTTTCGAACACTTTTGCAGCCTCACCCGACTCCTTTACAATACTATCTTATATTAAAATGAAAAAATTCCCACACACCCCCAAAAAAATGTGATTCTTTTCTGGGTATACTACTGATTGCAAACGAAAAGAGTTCACAAAGTAGAGCGAAAGGAAAAAAGCTATACGACCGCCGCATCCGTAGTTCGGAGTTACGATCATCGTAATATGCTGTTACCGTGTAGTTCACTTCCCGTGAACCGCTGTTGAACCAAAAAACGCCTCCTCGTCGAAGACAGAATACAGTTCTTCCCAGCACAAGATCTACTAGTCAACCGGAATCAGATGAAGACGAATTAGATGGGTTAACATTTGTACCATTGGCGAATGATCAGAAGAGTGGGGCAGACGTAACCGACGCGGCAACACCAGCTCAAAACGGCGAGCAGGGACATGATGAGATAGAAAACTCAGAGTTACCAGAGGTCGGGAACCCAGATGTATTGGCCCTTGATGAACAACAACCAACCATTCCACCGCCAGCAACGGAAAATGCGTCTATTCCACCACCACCTATGGAAAATACCAGACCTAGCAGAAACCCACCACCAAGACTAAATTATTGGACACCAGGTAACCCAGTCACAGGCATTTCATACCCTGGTAGTATGAACACTATTTTCGGTTTTGTAGAGCCTAGTCAACCAGGAGTGATGCCTTTCCCACCAATGAATTCCATTCCTTATATGTGGCAGCCAACCCCCCTACCTTATAATCCCTTTGCATACCTCGGACCTCATTGTCCGTACTGTGGAACAATGTTCCTTAATTAGATAAGTATGTTAACGTTGTATTGAACTGAAGATCATGATCTTCAAAAGAAACTTTAAGTGCATGCTAGTTTTGAAATTTGAAACGTTGTTTGAAAACATACGATAGTGGAACGAGTATAAAGAAACGAACTGACTCTTGCCCGAAATGACTGCAGCATCTCGTGTTGGATAAGTTTGTGAAATTTGTAATTGTTGGAGATTTCATGATTCATTGAATCAATGTCGTGGTTGACATTTCTTTCCAGGGGGAAAGTGTAGGGCCCCTGCCCTTAGTTGTATGATTACGCAAGAATCACACGTGGGACACTCGCGGGACAATATATAGATTAAGGTTACAGGACACCCTTTTTGGCGTTTTGCGGAAAATCGCTACTGCGCGCTCAATATCAGTCCTATTTTCATCAAATTTTCACCAAATGTTCTCCGTGCATGCAAAATATGGTAAAGTTGTAAAATTAACAAACAATAAAATAATGTAAGAATTATTCAGGAAAATCTTAAATCGCGGTACCTTTACGCTTTTGAGTTGTGCTCCTGCTGGTTTTAAGTTATATTTATGAAAATATCATTTTTATACAGTAAAATAGTTGTTCTAAAAAATTGTGTTCGGAAATTTTTGTTTATTTCGTCATTCCGCTGATATAGCGATTTCTTTGACGACTGCAATATATTTCTGAATTGTTTGAGTGAATTGCTCTTTATTTTTGAAATATCCAAAATTAAAAAAAACCCGAACACAGTTTTGAAACGGACGTATTTAGCTATATCCTGTGAAAATTTGAGAAAAACTGGTTAAAACCCGCAAGAGCACAACTCGTTTGAAAATCAGTAACTACCGTAAAAATTTTCGGGAGAAAATTGAATTTGAATGTTACATTTTCAATGTTTTTCTTATTGCAGCGAAATGTATTTTATTAAATAACTCTGCGAGTTTTCAACATTTTTCGTTGAAACTTGGTCAGATAGTAGAACTAGTCTAATGCTTTCATTGAAACCAACAAAAAAATTTTAGGCAAAATTAACACTCAAAGGTGTTCTGTAACCTTAAGAGTTGCTTCGAGCACATGTAAAACGAGAGTTTATATAGTTCACATTTTGTTAGTCATAAAATATATATCTTTTGCAATCGTTATGTTCCATACGTGAAGGGAAATAGGAGTAACATTATCATGTAAGAACCCTCAAGGAGGGTAGCAACTGAGGGCTGAATTTTTTATCCATGAATAGATTTTATTATTCCCCACCATTTTTAGAAGCTAAAGTTGGATCTTGTAGTTTTAAATTTAAGTTTTCATAGTATTTTATTTTGCATGAACTAATCAAAGAAGTTGTTTGGTTTCTTTGTTTTCTAAATCTCTCCCACGTATATGAAGTATTGGGATAAAGATGGACTTTTAATAATCTATTTATTTTCCTAATCAATGTATTCATCCACGGTTTGCCGCATGGGTGAATAACAACAGATTTGTGATGGACATGAGATTCAAGAATCCAATAAAAACTTTGAAATCACTGATCATAGACAGAATTGATCTGTACATCGTCAGTGATTAAAAAATGATCACAATTTAAAAACTGCAAAGGCATCACTCATTTTATGGATATCAATATTAGACATGTCCCATATAGTACATCTATAACACTTTGGCTTGACTAGAGATATATTCATACGTGCATTATGGTCACACATGCTCGGAGGACTGACAGTTCCAGACACAACAAAATAGCCCAGTGTATGTGTAATTAAGGTCAAGAACCGTACCCCCATTGGCTGCGACACGAGTTGGTTCATTAATTACTTGAGAAAGATTGTTACATTCTAACCATCTATAAAGGGAAATCCCAAAATTACTACTTAGCCAATATTAAGAGTTAAATTGGGACAAGGACCAGGATTAATTTCAATATCACCACTTAGCAAAATTAATATATTACTAAAGAACACATAAATACACAAGCATGTGCAACAAAGTAAACTAAGGAATACATGGGAGAAGGTAGCAGATGGACAAAGGTGACTAGTCCGAATCAGAAAATTAAAACAACCGATAGATGCCCTATAAGTTTCAAGACAAACTCCCATCAAGCATACAAAATAAGCAATATAAACTTACCTCGGGCTGCACACTCACAATATTTAAGCCTGTACAAACATATATTCATATAATATATACGGACAGAACTTTTATCCCAATAAAACATATAAAACAACAAGAAAAGATGGTAGTAATGATTGTTCGACTTGCAAGTATGGTTTCGATGTTTTCGCGTGCTTTCGTTGTTGTGAATCCAATGAATAGCTCGCTGAAAGGTGAGAAAGAAATCAGCATTTTTACAGATTTCCCCAAATAACATTCCAACATCTTAACAAATGTTTGAAAATACACACAGATCAGCCGAAATACAAAAATGTGTACCATCTTTTAATATAGCATTCGAAAATCAACAAAATATCCATACAAAATTATCGCTCACTCACTAGTAAAATATATGACAGCCACGCCTGGCCGTGCTCTCACCCCAATGTTTTTGCACCACCTGGCAATATGGCAGAATAAACCTTGAAAGGACCTATTGTCTTGCACCTGCTCCATCCAGGGTAAGTATCTTGACATCTCTGTTTTTTTCCAGACCTTCTACACAATTAAAAATAATTGAAATTAGTCAAAAAGAAATGAACTACCATAAACATTGATTTGCACAAGTGTTCATTTACTAAACATATTTGTAATGTGTGGATAATGTCTTAGTGATGTAAAGTTATAAGGGCCAGGTGTTAATTGGGACGAAAGTCCTGTTCCATATCCCAGTTGTGTATGTGATGGTAAACATTTGTGACAAAATGCAATAATACTATAGTATATTAAATTTTGAAAATAAACAAAATACAACGAACAACGCTGTCCTCGTATAGTGCTATTAAATATATGCATTTTGTGTAACTAATAAAATTAATATTTGATACTGGTATGATGCAGTACCTGATGTTCCTGGTCTGATATATGCCTTGTCATCCATGGACGTCAAGAAAGCTAACTCTTTGTCATTGGTATCTGAAAACAGTAACTCCCTGACATTCTTACAATGACTTCGTTAATGATGCGTGTTCTCTGTATCGCAATCTTCTGCCTTTGGTGGTTTTTTTGTGCAGGACAATCCCTTTCCAACATGCAATTTTGCTTGATTTGTGAGATCGGTTCCATGTAGTTGTGGAAGATTTAATCATCTTCTTTCCTTTCCAAAGAAGCATGTAATTGGCAATTGGCATTAAATCCCTTTTCTTTACTACTATATTGGTAAACATTACTGGGTTGTGTTGTCTATCATGGTACGTGGCCATGAAAAATAATACATTTACATTGTCACAAATGGTGTATAGGGCATCATATGTATAAATCATATGGGTTTATGTATGTATAAACGTAGACTTGCAGTGTTAATTTGATGTATGTATCCTGCATGAAATAAAATATTATTATTATTACTATGTTTATATTATATATTATTCTGTGTTGATTCCATGCAATAGTTCAGTATCACTGTATCCTTGTGGATGTATCCTTGCAGATGTAAAATGAAGTCTACGAAGCCAGACATTTGTAACCAAACAGAACAACTCGAGTATTAAATAGTAATACTATATAAAATACTTTCAATTTCAGGTTGTATGATTTATACAAACTGTAGTGTTTTAAGTTTCGACCGTAGCTTTCAAAAAAAAACTGGTTGTAGCAGATTAATTCATATTGTTTGATGTTGTTTAACATCACTTGACACATTCAGGTATTTTAGTATCATTTATAAATATTCCTATGTCCAAAACATTGATGATATATTTTGCTTTCTTGAGCATTAGAATATTACACTGCACCAAGCAATGTTGCGGTAGCATTTTTCTCACGAACAACAATAGGGGTGTCATCATCAACACTGGGAAGCATATAATGAACAATACAGAATATAAGTAAATCTCGGAAACTGGGACACGTTAACATTATGTAGATATTTAGTTAGGTCAAAACAACGACAGTATAGGGAAGTTATGCCCATATATGAGATAGGATATATTTTTAGTGAAGTGTATATCAACACAGAGAGAGCACGAACCATGTGTATACGAACATTCTAGTGAGATTTGTGATAGTAATAAAGTGTGGAAAAGCAATATCCCCCCTGGGAGGCAGGACATTCACGTTACCTGGCACCTCCAATAACATTGAATACAAGGACAGGTTAATAAAACTTCATTTATTGCCACTATGTATGCGTAGAGAGATAGCAGATTTGGTATTTTGCTTTAAAGCAATACATGGTCAAGTACAAATACCTTCGGATTTATTTGAGTGGTCTGTTACTGGTCGGTGCCTACGAACTACCCATGATCTCAAGTTGACTGTTCCACTTGCCCGTACTGATGTTTTTAAACATTCATATTTTGTTAGAATTACAAGATTATGGAATTTTTTGCCATATACAGTTCTCTCCCTAGAATCTCTTCCATCGTTCAGGAGGGAACTGTTTAAACTATATTATGATCGTTTTCATATTGACTGGAATCCTTAGACTTAGTTATTATTATCGACTTATATTACTTATTTGATAGTTAGTTAAATTAAGGTAAGGGAATCATGAATTCTGTTGTTGGCTTCCCAGATACATTCTATTGACTTTTGTTATAATTGACAATCAACATGTATTAGAAATTAAATTAAATTAAATTAAAAGCAATTCAAGCTCGCCAACAACTGAATCGCTGCAATTGTGGACAACAAACCAGTTTTCTATGATAGATGATCAACTGACCCGTATGTCTATGGTAATTAATGTGGACAACAATGAACATGAACAATTGATTTTAAAGGCAATGAGAGATCCAGTATTAAGACGAAACGAGCAAATAGTTTAAATAAATCTGCAGGTGATAAAGAACTTGACAACCCGAAATTCAACCACTCACCAAATAATACCACTGGTTGGTATTGGTGATTCTCTGCTGAAGAATCTTCGACAGCAATCAATAGGCAAAGCTACAAAGAGCAAAGTACAAGTGAAGTGTTTTCCAGGTGCTAGGCTACAAGATATGAAATATTATAGTGTACCGGCCTTGTCTGCCAAGCCCAAGCATATTATTGTACACTGTGGTACAAATGATCTAAAAAACAAGAAACCAGAAGAAATAGTCAAAGAAACCAATGAATTATGCCAATTGCTACAAAAGGAGAGTCCAGAATCTGATATCACTGTTTCCTCGATAATACACAGAAAAGACAACCAAGGTAAAGTTGACGAGGTAAACAACCTTTTGAAATCTTCATGTATAGTAAATAATTTTAGATTTTTATTGTATCAAAATATTGATTTAAATTGTCTTAATCGTTCTGGTCTCCATTTAAATAAACTTGGTGACTGTACGCTAGCAAAAAATATTCTATTCTATTCACCACGAGAATTGTTCTAGCAAGGTCCATATAATCTTCCGTGCCTGGAGATAGGAACGTAATGACAACACCATTGGCTACACTGGAGTTGTGTTGATGATCTACCCAATGTCCTCTATCTAAACTGATCTGTGTTGGGGGCACAGAGAATAGATCGAGTTCGCTTTTTGTACATTCTTGAGATTCAGAATGTACAAAATTCATGGTTTTAGCCAAATATATCTTGAGCTGTTTCCATCTCTTGGTCTGTCTGTGTCTGTCTGTAGATGTCGATGCCTTTCTCTTTTTAACTGTTTTCCTTTTCTTGCTCTAACTGTAGATGTCGATGCCTTTCTCTTTTTAACTGTTTTCCTTTTCTTGCTCTGACTGTAGATATCGATGCCTTTCTCTATTTAGCTGTTTGCTTTACACTTCTTGAACGCTTTACACTTCTTGAGCGCTTTGCACGTTTTCCGCTCCCCATCTGACCCCCATCTTAGTTTATTGATAGCTTTTCTTTTTGCAACATTGGCAGCCTCTACGGTTTGTGCTTTTGCCGCTTCCTTTACGTTTCTACCGGCGAGAACATCTCCCACAAAATCGGCGCCACTTTTTAGGGCGATGTTTCCAAGAGCTTTCGCTCTGCTTTTCACCATGAGCATCACTGTTTGTGCCACGCTGCGGAACAGGCTCCCCAGGCCGTGCCCTGTCTGTTGGCCATACCCGGACTGCTAAGGGCTGCCCCTGAACACAGGCATGCCATGCCCTTGCTGTTGATCCACATAATAACGTTCATATGGATTATTCATCTTTTTCAAGTGAAGTATATATGCTGTTTGAAATGTAGTGTCGCTATCACCTTCCCACATTCAAATGGCATTGGATCGCCTGTGTCATTACTTAAACGAATTTTCATGCCTTCAAAGGATTTCGTTTGAACAGGCATGTTGGTGAACGTTTTCGTAATGATATCGCCATACTTTCCTACAACGGGAATTGTGCATGGGAATATTGCAGTATGTGTAGATCGTCGAAAAGATATTCAAATCTACCACGCGAGGACTTTCGCCTGTTTTGTCAATTTTGAAAATTTATGCTATTTTAGCCATAAAAAAGTTTAAAAAACCTGATTCCTAG